CCCTCGGCGCTCAGGAATCACGCTCTCGCTTTGGCCTTTCTTTGATTGACTTGGGGATCGCGCTATCGCTGGAGACTTCCTCGCGATTCGTGCCAGACCCACGCTTCAGCAATGGTCGCCTGGGCCCGCCTTCCCGACATGCCCGCTATGGGTCTGCCCACCCGATCTGCCCGTCTAGTTCTACCACGCGCTTTCTGCTCCTAGCCCCCTCTCCTGTTAATTTCTCTCGTGTTGTATCTTTCGCCCTCCCCCTTCCGCCCGTCTTCTCTTTCCTTGTTTCAGGGGCTGCAGTACATGCACGTGGCAAGGAAGGGAGATATACCCCTAAGGGGGTACGATCGAACACGACGAAGTGGAGTACCGAGCGTTAGGGATATACGTATTGATTAGCACGTGAGCAGATAGGAGCGAACGCTCTTATGCTTGTTGTTGTGATTATTGTTGTTAATGTTGTTGTTGTGGTTGTTGTTGTTGGTGTTGTGAAGTTCTCACTTCTGAGAACTATTGTTGGTCCCGCCTCCGGTAACCACTGTATTTTTCGGGCTCGCACCCTGTTTTCTAAAACGGAAATTCAAGGGTCACCAAATTGGGTTGTGGGGCCCCGAACTACAACAACAACTCCGGCTCCAGCCTGATAGTTCCTCACAGTTTATTGCCAAATCGCGCTCTCGCGCGGGACTTCCTCATAACTTATACAGGAATCGCGCGCTCGCGTGGGACCTCCTCGCAACTTATTCCAACGCCGCGCCCTCGACACTCAGGAATCAGACCTTCGCTGTTGACTTCCAGACTTTTTGTTTGTTTGTTTGGAATCGCATTATCGTTCGAAACTTCCTCGCGATTCATGCAAGACCCACGCTTCAGCAACCCGCCTGCTCGACCTGGCTGCCTGGGCCCGCCTTCCCGACTTGCCCGTTCGGGTCTGCCCGCCCGATCTGCCCGTCTGGTTCTGCCACATGATTTCTGTTCCGAGCCCCCCTCCTGCTACTCTCTCTCGTGTTCAATCCTCCTTCCTCCCTTGTCCATTCCTTTCGTGCGTCCTCTCTTCCCCTGCCGTAGGGGCTGCACGAAATACACGTTGCAGGTAAGAACGATCTACCCGTAATGGGGGCACAATCGAATACGAAGAGGTCGGGGTATCGAAGGGTTGGAATTTACGTGTTGATTGGCACATGAGCAGAAAAGAACAACTAATCTAATGAGTGTTGCTTTTACTGTTTTTGTTGTTGCGGTTGAAGTTTTTCCCAAGGATCAATTATTGTTGATCCCCCTTTCGGTTCACTGTGTGGCTTTCGAATTAATGTGCCACTCCGGGGATTCACACTTTGTTTTTTATAAAGGGCAAGCCTTGGGCCTCAGATTGGGCCACTGCTCCCCCGAACTACAACAACAGCTGCTCCCGCGTGATAGTTCCTTTCGATGTATTGAACTATCGAGGTTTCGCTTGGGACGTCCTTGCAGTTTATTCAGGCATCACGCTCTCGCTTGGCGCTTTCTGACCAGTTATTCACGAATCGCTCTCTCGGCGCTCTGGAATCGCGCTTTCGCTCGGGACTTCCGTCTAATTTGCTCAGGAGGCGCGCTCGCGCCTGAGACTTCTTTGCCATCTCCTCTTGCTAATCCCCCTTGTTACTCCCTCTCGTCCTCCACCTTGTTCCTCTCTCCCTCTTGCCCCCTTCCCACCTCCCTCCATTCCTCAACTCCCCTTCCTTCTCGCTCTCCAGTGTCCCCCCCATGTGTACACGTGACAAGGAAGGAACGCATAACCCTCAAAGGGGGTAGAACAAATATAAAGAGGGCGGGGATTGAGGGTGTGGGAGATACGTGCTAAATGGCACGCGATCACCTGGAAACGACTACTCTAAAACCATTGTTATGGTTGTTGCTGCTGCTCTTGTTGTAGCTGCTATTGTTGAGCTCTCACTACTGAATAATAAATATTGTTGATCCCCCCTCTGGTGACCATTGTGTATTTGTCAATTGAAGTGCTTCCCCTGGGGCTCGCACCATGTTTCTTATTAGGGAAAGTCGTTCGGCTCGAACTGCGCCCCTGACCCCCGGATGACAACAACAACGGCTCCCGCCTGATATTTAGGAATCAGGATCTCGCTGCCCTTCGTGGCCCCGTTGCAGCCCTTCGTGGCCCCCTCGCTGCCCTTCGTGGCCCCGTTGCAACCCTTTATGGCCCCCTTGCTGCCCTTCGTGGCCCCGTTGCAACCCTTCGTGGCCCCCTCGCTGCCCTTCGTGGCCCCGTTGCAGCCCTTCGCGGCCCCCTCGCTGCCCTTCGTGGCCCCGTTGCAGCCCTTCGCGGCCCGTCGCTGCCCTTCGTGGCCCCGTTGCAACCCTTTATGGCCCCCGCGCTGCCCGTCGTGGCCCCGTTGCAACCCTTCGTGGCCCCCGCGCTGCCCGTCGTGGCCCCGTTGCAGCCCTTCGTGGTCCCGTCGCTGCCCTTCGTGGCGCCATATTTGTATGCCCTTCGTGGCCCACGTTTGCGACCGTCGTGGCTCCATATGCATGCCCTTCGTGGCCCCGCTGTCGTCCTTCGTGGCCCCGTCGCTGCCCTTCGTGGCCCCGTCGCTGCCCTCAGTGGCCCCGTCCTCGCCCTCTGCGGCCCAATATACGCATGCCCTTCGTGGCCCCCGCTCGTTCGCGCCCGTCGTGGCTTCATATGCATGCCCTTTGTGGCCCCGCTGTCGCCCTGTGTTGCCCCCTCGCTGCCCTGCGTGGCCCCTTTGCTACATTCCCTCAGTGGCCCCGTCGTTGTCCTTCTGTGGCCCTGCATTATCTGCCCTTCGTGTCCCCCGCTCGTTCGCGCCCTTCGTGGCTCCATTGCTGCCCTTCGTGGCCCCATCATTGCCCTTGGTGGCCCCGCTGTCGCTCTCGCTGTCGGTCGCGCTTTCGCTTGTCGTCGTCGTTGTCGTCGTGGTCGGTCTCCTGTCCGTCCCTCTTGGGGTCGGGTTGCCGCTGGTCAGCGTTGCCGCTGGCCAAGCCGACGGTCCGCAGCCGCCCTGCCGCTTGCCAGGGCCCGGCCTGCAGGGAAGAAAGATATACCCCTCAAAGGGGGTACGATCGACGACGAAGAGGGCGGGTATCGAGGGTTTGGGAAATACACGTTGAATGACACTCGAGCAGATAAGAGCGAACGGTTTTGACATGATTGTTGCTGTTGCTGCTGTTGTTGTTCTTATTGTTGTTGTTGTTCCCTACCTAGGCTCTGCCTAGAAGGGTTCTTACTCTCTTAGCTTAAGGGGGCCGGGCAGTGTAAAGCGCCCCGGGCGGTTCCCCCAGTCCCCGCCCCGCGGTTTCCCCCAGTCCCCTGGGAGCTTTAGCTTTAGCTTTAGCTTTAGCTTAGCTTTAGCTTAGCTGTCGCTTAGCTTAGCGTTTCGCTTAGCTTTTCGCTTAGCGTTTAGCTTAGTTCTAGCTTAGCTTTAGCTTAGCTTTAGCTTAGCTGCATCTTCGCTGTAGCTTAGCTTTAGCTTAGCTTTAGCTTAGCTGTTGCTCAGCTTTAGCTTAGCTTTAGCTTAGCTTTAGCTTAGTTTCAGCTTAGCTTTAGCTTAGCTTTAGCTTAGCGTTACTGTTACTACTAATGCTGCTTTCCTAGGGGTTCCAACTCCTAGGTAGGGTCGCACTGGGATAATTATTATTATTGGTGTTGTTATTCCCTACCTAGGCTCTGCCTAGAAGGGTTCTTACTCTCTTAGCTTAAAGGGACCGGGCAGTGCAAAGCGCCCCGGGCGGTTGCCCCAGTCCCCTGGCAGCGGTTCCCCCAAGTCCCCTGGGAGCTTTAGCTTTAGCTTTAGCTTTAGCTTTAGTTTAGCTTTAGCTTAGCTGTCGCTTAGCTTTAGCTTAGCGTTTCGCTTAGCTTTTCGCTTAGCGTTTAGCTTAGCTTTAGCTTAGCTGTAGCTTAGCTGTAGCTTAGCTGTAGCTTAGCTTTAGCTTAGCTTTAGCTTAGCTTTAGCTTAGCTTTAGCTCAGCTTTAGCTCAGCTTTAGCTTAGCTTTAGCTTTTTAGCTTAGTTTTAGCTTAGCTTTAGCTTAGCAGTGGCTTAGCTTTAGCTTAGCTTTAGCTTAGCGTTACTGTTACTACTAATGCTGCTTTCCTAGGTGTTCCAACTCCTAGGTAGGGTCGCACTGGGATAATTGTTGTTGTTGCTGTTATTCCCTACCTAGGCTCTGCCTAGAAGGGTTCTTACTCTCTTAGCTTAAAGGGGCCGGGCAGTGCAAAGCGCCCCGGGCGGTTTCCCCAGTCCCCGCCCCGCGGTTCCCCCAGTTGTGCCCCCTGGGTTCACCCAGCTAAACTTAGCTTAGCTAAGCTTAGCTTAGCTTAGCGTAGCTTAGCTGAGCTTATCTCATCTTAGCTTAGCTTTGCCTAGCCTAGCCTAGCCTAGCTTAGCTTTAGCTTATCCTAGCATCGCTTAGCTTAGCTTAGCTCGGCTTAGCTTAGCGTGGCTTGGCTTGGCATAGTTTAGCCTAGCCTAGCTTAGCTTAGTGTAGCTTAGCATAGCTTAGTGTACCTTAGCTTAGCTTAGCTTAGCGCAGCATTAGCACAGCATAGCATAGCATAGCATGGCATAGTTTAGCTTAGCTTAGCTTAGCTTTGTCTAGCCTAACTTAACTTAGCTTAGCTTAGCTTAGCTTGTCTCGCTGTTGACGTAGATGTAGATGCAGGTGTAGATGTAAATGTAGCTGTCGGTGTAGATGTAGGTGTTGCTTTCCTAAATGCTCCAACTCCTAGGTAGGGTCGCACTGGGATCATTTTTGTTTTTGCTGTTGTTGTTGTCGCTGTTGGCTTTGATTGTTGAGTTTCCTCGTTTTGCTTGTCTGCTTGTTTGTTCTCTGCTTTGGTCGTTCTGTGTTCCCTGTGGCCAGAGCATAATGCCATCTGACACGCCTGGGGCTCCTGCGGTCTGAGATCCGACCCCACGAGCGGCGAGCCTCGCTCTCCGTTCTTCCTGCCACCTGTGCTGTGCTGGGCCGGCCGTGGCAGCGGCCGGGCAGGCGCCTCTCGGGGCTGTCGCACGTTTCGGTGTCGTTCTCCCTCGGTTCCGCTGGCCCCCGCTGTGGGCGGAGGGGCAAGGCAGGCGCTGCAGACTGGAGTGCGTTGATGGGGCGGGAACGTGACTAGAGAGAAAATAGGATATATATATATATTTATATATATATATATATATAGAGAGAGAGAGAGTGATAACACTTGTGTATACATACGTATGTACAACTGTCTGTGTATATGTGGTCATATTTATATGTTTATATGTATACTAGATTATATTACATTCGAGTATATAGTATTGCAGTCTACTTTATTATGTCATCGTCTACTCTATTGTACTCGATGATATCATAGCATATCATATAATTTTGTATAATGTTGGACTATACCATATGAAATTACCTATGATTGTATTATATCGTGTTACAAGTCTATTATATGGTTATACACTATATATGCACATCGGGATGTCTATACGGATCAGAGAACATAGTTGGAAGGAGGCAGGGAGATGGAGGGAGGGAGGGATAGAGAGAGAGAGAGAAGGATAGAGAGAGGGCGAGAAACAGAGAAAGAGAGAGAGAGAGAGAGATAGAGAGAGTGAGTTAGAGAGAGTGGGGCGACGGGTATGAAAGGGAGGCGACGATACACATATCTATACATACATACATATAGATAAGCTTCGTCGCGTGAGCGGCACATTCTGCGAATTCGGCTCTGGCGCCTCCGTGGCGGCGTCGGTGGAGCTTCTTATGGACTTGCACTACTGCAGCGTATAATGCATATCTTGATTCAGCTCCTGCTATGTTTCCTTGATGCATATACTCGTGCGGCTCCAATTGCAGCTCATTCTGCAACTCGCACACCAACTCTCACTACTAACCTGTTTACAACTCCTGTGACAGGCCATACTGCAACTCCTAGTACCCTTAAATTTCAAGCCGATGTTGGCGTTCGCCCATTTTCGGCGTCCAGAAGGCCCAAGGCAACCCCAAAGGCCACCAATATGGCCCCATGAGCGCCCACGCGGTCTCCGAGGTGCCCTCCTGACGGCCCAACATGCCCCCAAGACGACTCCAAGAGGGCTCTAAGACGACCCGGGAGACCTCCAAGACGCCGAAGGTGGTCTCCAAGACGACCCCGAAACGCCCCAAGAGGGCCCCAGGTCGGCACGACGGCTTCCGACGGTGCCAGACGGGCCAGGAAGCCCCTCAGACGGCCAAAGGGCCTCCAAAGGAGCCTCCAAAGGCTCGAAAGAGGCACAAGGAAGCCCCCAAGAGGCCTCGAAGAGGTTCCCAAGACAAGATGCCCCTCCCTTCTCCTCTTCCTCCTCCTCATGTTTTCTCCCTCTCCTTCTCCTCTTCCTTCCCCAACGTGTTCCCTCGAAGGGTTTCCATAACGGCTGGGGGAACGCATGGTCCGACAGACAACTTGGCCGATCCCTGGCCGCAACGTTTGGTCACATAGGCGTATCCAAAAAGGCAAGGGGCGGCGGTGATTCGCCGTAGGCGTCTTCGATGTTTCCGAGAGGCCAACATCATTGATTTGCCGTCGGTTTCTTCCCCACATGTTTCGTGGGGTTCTGCTTTTCTTCTCTGCCGCGTCACACCCGCGTCTCCTCACACACACACACACCTCCCCTCCCCCCCCCCACACACACAGCACAGCACAGCTCAGCACAGCTCAGCACAGCTCAGCTCAGCACGGCTCAGCACGGCACAGCACAGCTCACCGCAGCACAGCACAGCACGGCAGAGCACAACACAACACACCACAGCACACAGCACAGCACAGCACAGTACAGCTCAGCACAACATACTGGGCACCCACGTGAGACACACGTTCCGATACGGCCGCCCACGCATCATACAAAACGTGCGTGTAGGATTCGGAGTGGATGGCAGGAGACTCTATGCAGGCCATGGCGCAGGGCACGGCATGCGTGACACTTTCTCGACACCAGAGAGGGTGCGCAGGGGGTGGTCCCTCAGCGCGGTCTCTATGCGTGCCAGGGTCGGAGAGCGTGGCAGGGGTGGCACATTATCGGCACCAGAGAGGGTGCGCAGGGGGTGGTCCCTCAACGCGGTCTCTATGCGCGCCAGGGTCGGAGAGCGTGGCAGGGGTGGCACTTTCCCGATATCAGAGAGGGTGCGCAGGGGGTGGTCCCTCAGCGCCGTCTCTATGCGTGCCAGGGTCGGAGAGCGCGGCAGGGGTGGCACTTTCTCGTCGACATCACAGGGGGCGCGCTGGGGGTGGGGTCGCTATCCGTTTCGGGCTCGCAAAGCGTGGCAGGCGTGGCACATCCTTGACACCACAAGGGGGCGCGCTCGGGGTGGGGTCGCTATCCGTTTCGGGCTCGCAAAGCGTGGCAGGCGTGGCACATCCTCGACACCGCAGGTGGGCGCGCTGGGGGTGGGGTCGCTATCCGTTTCGGGCTCGCAAAGCGTGGCAAGCGTGGCACATCCTCGGCACCACAAGGGGGCGCGCTGGGGGTGGGGTCGCTATCCGTTTCGGGCTCGCAAAGCGTGGCAAGCGTGGCACATCCTCGACACCGCAGGTGGGCGCGCCCGGGGTGGGGTCGCTATCCGTTTCGGGCTCGCAAGCGTGGCAGGCGTGGCACATCCTCGACGCCGCAAGGGGGGGCGCGCTAGCTATCCGTTTCGGGCTCGCAAAGCGTGGCAAGCGTGGCGCATCCTCGACACCAAGGGTGGCGCGCTGGGGTGGGGTCGCTATCCGTTTCGGGCCGAAGGGTGCGCGAGAGGACGTACCGAAGCTTCGGAATGGGCGCGCTGGGGGTGGGGTCGCTGTCCGCTTCGGGCTCGCAAAGCGTGGCAAGCGTAGCACATCCTCGACACCACAGGGGGCGCGCTCGGGGTGGGGTCGCTATCCGTTTCGGGCTCGCAAGGCGTGGCAGGCGCGGCACATCCTCGACAGCACAAGGGGGCGCGCTGGGGGTGGGGTCGCTATCCGTTTCGGGTTCGCAAGGCATGGCAAGCGTGGCACATCCTCGGCACCGGAAGGGGCGCGCTGAGGGTGGGGTCGCTATCCGTTTCGGGCTCGCAAAGCGTGGCAGGCGCGGCACATCCTCGACACCGCAGGGGGCGCGCGTGGCACATCCTCGACGCCGCAAGGGGGCGCGCTGGGGGTGGGGTCGCTATCCGTTTCCCGCGGGCTCGCCAAAGCGTGGCCGGCGCCGGACTTCCCTCGACACACAAGGGGCGCGTGGGGGTTTGGGGTCGCTGTCCGCCTTCTGGGCTCGCAAAAGCGTGGCAAGCGTTAGCCAATCCTCGACACCCACAGGGGGCGCGCTGGGGTGGTGGTCGCTATCCGTTTCGGGTCGCAAGCGTGCAGGCGCGCAATCCTCGACAGCAAAGGGGGCGCGCTGGGCGGTGGGGTCGACTATCGGTTTCGGGTCGCAAGGAATGGCAAGCGTGGCACATCCTCGGCACGGAAGGGGAGCGCTGAGGTGTGGGGTCGCTTCGTTTCGGGCTCGCAAAGCGTGGCAGGCGCGGCACATCCTCGACACCGCAGGGGGCGCGCTGGAGGTGGGGTCGGTATCCGTTTCGGGCTCGCAAAGCGTGGCAGGCGTGGCACATCCTCGACACCGCGAGGGGGCGCGCTGGGGATGGGGTCGCTATCCGTTTCGGGCTCGCAAAGCGTGGCAGGCGCGGCACATCCTCGACACCGCGCGGGGGGCGCGCTTGGGGGTTGGGTCGCGCTATCCGTTTCGGGCTTCGCAAAGCGTGGGGAGGCGTGGCACATCCTTCGACTCCACAGGGGGCGGGGCGCGCTATGTGGGTGGCGGGGCCGCTATCCGTTTGGGCTCGCTAAAGCGTGGGCAAGCGTGGCACATCCTCGGAATCCACATGGTGGCGCGCTGTGGGGTGGGGTCGCTATCCCGTTCGGGGCCCGAAATCGTGGCCGGCGTTGCGCATCCTCGGCCCCATAGGGGCGCCTCTGGGGGTGGGGTCGCTATCCGTTTCGGGCTCGCAAAGCGTGGCAGGCGTAGCTAGCACATTCTCGACACCACAGTTGCTGCAGGGGCGCGCTTCGGTGGTGGGTCGTTATCCGTTTCGGGGCTCGCAACGCGTGGCTGGAGTGGCACATCCTCGAAGGCGTGGCACATCCTCGACATCGCAGGGGGCGCGCTGGAGGTGGGGTCGTTATCCGTTTCGGGCTCGCAAAGCGTGGCGGGCGTTGCACATCCTCGACACCACAGGTGGCGCGCCGTGGGTGAGGTCGCTATCCGTTTCGGGCTCGCAAAGCGTGGCAGGCGTGGCACATCCTCGACACCACAAAGGGGGGCGCGCTGGAGGTTGGGTCGCTATCCGTTTCGGGCTCGCAAAGCGTGGCAAGCGTGTCACATCCTCGATACCGCTGGGGGCGCGCTGGGGGTGGGGTCGCTATCCCTTTCGGGCTCGCAAGGCGTGGCAGGCGTGGCACATCATCGAATCAACATGGGGCGCGCTGGGGGTGGGGTCGCTACCCGTTTCGGGCTAGCACTTCGGGCTCGCAAAGCGTGGCAGGCGTGGCACATCCTCGGCGACACAAAGGGCGTGCTGGGGGTGGGGTCGCTATCCGTTTCGGGCTCGCAAAGCGTGACAGGCGTGGCACATCCTCGACACCACAGGGGTCGCGCTGGGGGTGGTCGCTATCCGTTTCGGGCTCGCCAAGCGTGGCAGGGCGGCACAGCCTCGTCACCACAAGGGGCGGCGGGAGGGTGGGGGTCGTTATCCGTCGCGGCTGCCCAAAACGTGGCAGGCGTGGCACATCCTCGACACCACAGGGGGCGCGCTGGGGGCGCGGACGATATCTTTTTCGGGCTCGCAAAGCGTGGCAGGCACGGCACATCCTCGACACCACAGGGGGCGCGCTGGGGGTGGGGTCGCTATCCGTTTCGGGCTCGCAAAGCGTGGCAGGCGTGGCACATCCTCGACACCACAAGGGGGCGCGCTGGGGGTGGGCGCGCTGGGGGTGGTCGCTATCCGTTTCGGGCTCGCAAAGCGCGGCAGGCGTGGCACATCCTCGACACCGCAAGGGGGGCGCGCTGGGGGTGGGGTCGCTATCCGCTTCGGCTCGCCAGGCGTTGGCAAGCGTGGCGCATCATCGAATCAACATGGGGCGCGCTGGGGGATGGAGGTTCGTGATTCCGTTTCGGGCTCGGCAATGCGTGGCAGGCGGTGCGGCTTCCTCGGCGTCGCATGGGGCGTGTGGGGATGGGTCGCTATCCGTTTCGGGCTCGCAAAGCGCGGCAGGCGTGGCACATCCTCGACACCACAGGGGGCGCGCTGGGGGGTGGGGTCGCTATCCGTTTCGGGCTCGCAAAGCGTGGCAGGCGTGGCACATCCTCGACACCACAGGGGGCGCGCTGGGGGTGAGGTCGCTATCCGTTCCGGGCTCGCAAAGCGTGGCAGGCGTGGCACATCTTCGACACCACAGGGGGCGCGCTGGGGTTGGGGTCGCTATCTGTTTCGGGCTCGCAAAGCGTGACAGGCGCGGCACACCCTCGACACCAAAGGGGGCAAGCTGGAGGTGAGGTCGCTATCCGCTTCGGGCTCGCAAAGCGTGGCAGGCGTGGCACATCTCGGACACGCAATCAAGGGGGCGCGCTGGGGGGGGTGGGGTCGCTGTTCAGTTTCGGGCTCGCAAAGCGTGGGAGGCGTGGACATTTTTTTTTTTCCCTCGACACCACAGGCGGCGCGGTGGGGGTGGGGTCGCTGTCCGTGTCGGGCTTGCAAGCGTTGGCAAGCGTGGCACATCTGGAATTTACATGGGGCGCGATGGGGGTGGGTCGCTATCCGTTTCGGGCTCGCAAAGCGTGGCAGGCGTGGCACATCCTCGACACCATAAGGGGGCGCTCTGGGGGTGGGGTCGCTATCCGTTTCGGGCTCGCAAAGCGTGGCAGGCGTGGCACATTCTCGACACCACAGGGGTCGCGCTGGGGGTGGTAGCTATCCGTTTCGGGCTCGCAAAGCGTGGCAGGCGTGGCGCATCCTCGACACCACAGGGGTCGCGCTGGGGGTGGGGTCGCTATCCGTTTCGGGTCGCAAAGCGTGGCAAGCGTGGCACATCCTCGACACACAGGGGGCGCGCTGGGGGTGGGGTCGCTATCCGTTTCGGAATCGCAAAGCGTGGCAAGCGTGGCACATCCTCGACACCACAGGGGGCGCGCTGGGGGTGCGGTCGCTATCTGTTTCGGGCTCGCAAAGCGTGGCAGGCGTGGCACATCCTCGACACCACAAGGGGCGCGCTGGGGGTGGGGTCGCTATCCGTTTCGGGCTCGCAAAGCGTGGCAGGCGTGGCACATCCTCGACACCACAGGGGGCGCGCTGGACGTGGGGTCGCTATCCGTTCCGGGCTCGCAAAGCGTGGCAGGCGTGGCACATCCTCGACACCACAGAGGGCGCGCTGGGCGTGGCACATCCTCGACACCACAGAGGGCAAACGCATAAGATTCACATTAAGTATGTGGGGTTCCTCGGTAGCGTAATTCATGTTCTTGGAGTCCTCGATTTTTCGAGCCTCTGACGCTCCAAGGCGACCCAAGAGTCCCCCGAAACCGCCCCAAGACCGCCCAAGAGGCCCCCAGGAGGGTTCCAAGATGGCCCACGACGGCCCCAGAGGCGCACCAGACGGCCCAAGGGGTCCCACAGACAGCCCCAAGGAGGGCCCAAGAGGGGGAACACAAACAGAACATCCGAGTCTTTCTTACGCCCCAAGAGGCCCACCAGAGGGGCCCCCAAAGAGCCAAACGAGGCCTCCAAGAGCCCCCCCAAGATACCTTCAATAGGCCCCAAGACGCCCCAGTGGGCTCCCACATGGCCCCGGCAGGCTTCAAAACCGCTCCCAAGAGGCCTCCGAGGGGCCTCTAGAGACATTCCAGCGAACGTCCTAGAGGCCTATGAACCCACACACAGGCGCGGTGGCGGGATGGGCCGACGGCCATTCTGTGTGTGTGTGTATGTATTTCAAGGTATGGATGTATGCATACATGCTTGCATGCACGTATGTATATGTTTGTTTGTTTGTTTGTTTGTTTGTTTGTTTGTTTGTTTATATGTATGTATGTACGCATGTAGGTAGACATGCTTGTATGTCCGTACGTGCATATGTATTTCCATCTCTGCATATGTGAATGCATGCATGTATGCATGTTTGCATGTTTGCATGCATGCATGTAGGTGTGCTTGTATTTATGTAGGTATATGTAGGTACGGTTGTATATACGTACGTACAGTTGCATTTATACATGCATGTATATCTGCATGTGTATACTTAAGAATAGGTGTACGCCTTTATGCATGCATGCATGTATGCATACATGCATGCATACATATGCATCAACATATGTAGATATATGTATATACGCATGTCTGTATGCATATATGTATGCATGCGTGTATGCATGCATGAGCGTATGTATACACACTTGCATGCATGCATGCATGCATGCATGTATGCATGTAGATGTGCATGCATCGAACTACATATACATGTAGGTAGGTGTATGTGTATACTTGTATGCGTATACAGGTGTGTTTGCATGCGTGCATGCATCTATATATGCATATGTATATTTGATTATAATATATACATGCGTATGTATGTCTGCATGCATGCGTTTATGTATTGTTACACGCACGTATGTATGTATGCATGCATGCTTGTATTTACGGACCTATGTATACATACATGTACGCATGCATGCATGCATGCATGTAGGCACACACGTATGCATGTACGTTTTTATGTATGTATGCGTGCACACATGCATGCACGTACGTATGTATGTATGTATGTACGCATATAGACAGACATGCTATACAGAGAGAGAGAGAGAGGAGAGAAAGAGAGAGAGAGAGAGATAGAGAAAGAGAGAGACACAGAGAGAGAGAGAGAGAGCGATACATATATATATATATATAGATATTGCTATACATCTGTATCCATACACACATATATATGGAGAGAGAGAGAGAGAGAGAGAGAGAGAGAGAGAGAGAGAGAAAAGAGAGAGAGAGAGGGATATAAAGAGAGAGAGAGAGAGAGAGAGAGAGAGAGAGAGAGAGAGAAAAAAAAGAGAGCGAGGCAGAGGCAGAGAGAGAGACAAAGAGACAGCGAGAGAGAGAGGGAGAGATAAAGAAAGGGGGGAGGGAGGGAAAGAGATAAATAAAGAAAGAGAGAGAGAGGGAGACGTGGAGGACACATTCAGAGGGAAGGGCGCAGGGTGTGGACCGCTGACGTAGCGACCTTACGCGGCAGCTTACGCGGGCCACCTGCGCGGGCGCTTCCGCGCGACATGACGCGGGCAACTTACGCGCCGATATCCGTGTAGCCGACACCGATTTTCTGCTTTGCTCCACTTGGCCCCGACCTGCAATGCGGTCCGTGTGCCTGCCGTTAGGTCGGGCATGTCCTCCCTACAGGCGGATTTTTGGACGGAAAATGGAAACATAGTAAAAACAAAATTAGTCAAACATGCTAAAAATAGTAGAGAAATCGTCCCCAGACTATTTTTTGACTACTTTTGAATATTCCTCCTGCAGAGGGACATGCCCGACTTAAAGCCTGCCCTGCTTGGGCCGCGGAGAGGCGGCGACCACCCCGGAGAGAAGCTCTCGCTGGCAACGTCCCCGGCGCTGTGGGTCTTGCGCACCAGCTCGGTGTCCTCCTCCCGGCGGCGCGCAGAGGGGGGCCCAGGGGAGGGGGGAGGGCTTCTTAGCAGGAGGCTGCTGCTCAGAAGGCGGTGGCCTCGTATTTGTAGCGAAGGCCAGCGCCTTCTGGGAAGCAGGGGTGCTTCCAAGAAGCCTTTCCCCCTCCCCCTCCCCCTAGGTCGGGCGCGGGATTTTGGACGAAAAAATGAAAAATAGCCAAACAATATTCAGAACTGGTCAGAAAATAATCGAAACATCGTCCCAAGACTATTTCTGGACTATTTTTGAATCTTCCCTCAGAAGAGGGAAATGCCCGACTTAATTCTGAGAAGCCTCCCCCCCTCCCCCCTACCCCCCTCTGCGCGTGGCTGAGTCCTCCTCGCTGCGGAGCTTGCGCACCGGCTCGCTGAAGCACAACCTCTCGCCGTCCAGAGCACCGCGACCTCTCCGGGGGGGGTGGCCCCGAGCCTCCACAGCGCGGTGGAGCTCACAGTGCTCCCCTGCCCCCGTGCCACCCCTCCCCCGTGCAGAAGACGAAGCCAAGGCCGGGATGACATCGGACCGGGATGAGTTGGCGGCGCGCGCAAGGGGGAGGGGGAGGGGGAGGGGGGGAGGCTTCTTAGATGGCGGCTGCTTCTTAGAAGGCGCCGGCCCGACATCCACACAGAAAAAGCCCACGCCTTCTGAGAAGCAGGGGTGCTTCCAAGAAGCCTTCCCCCCTCCCCCTACCACCCCCTCTGCGTGTGCCTGAATCAGAGCAGCGGGGACCTGTGAGATCCGTGGGCTCTGGGGGATGCATCGGGCGCCGCGGCCTTTCCAGAGTGCTCTGGGGCGGTCTCAGAGCCCAGATATCCTGCGTCTCGACTTGTTCGAGGCACGGGCCCCCGACCCCTCGACCACTTCCCCAGGACCAGCGTTTCATCCCAAGTCGCCTGTTGACGGTCCCGAGGCCCCTGCAAGGGCCCCGAGGAGCCGAAACCCAGGAAAAACCTTCGTCTCGATTTTTGTTCGACACGCCGGGTCCCTGGGACCGTTCCGGAACGCTCTGGAACGATTTGTCCGGGTCCTGGCCCTGCCTGGCCGAATCCCGCCAGGTCCTGCGACCCTCCTGTCTGGCCTGGAGGCGGCCCTGCGGGCAGAGCCCTGCCTCCAGCGCCACCAGGATGGGCGTCCGGCAACGGGCGGCGCGAGCCCCGCACAGCCGCCCTGCGCTTCGCTGGGCGGCGACGCCCTCGCTACGTGGCCGTCCCAGCAGCGTCTTGGACCCAAGGAGGCCGCCTGCGCGGACTTGGCTCCGCGTGGCAGGCATCGGAGACGACCTGGGCACTCCTGGCCATCCGGAGATCTGCGATTACGTCAAGGGTCAGGAGCTCCACCTCGCTTGCCCTTCCGATTGAACCCAAGCCCCAGATCAAACGTGTAGAGAAGTGCACACTGGCCATCGGTGTTCTGTTCTTGCCCGAGGCCCCAGAGGAACCACCCGAGACGACACCCGCGGCGCCCCAGGAGCGTTCTCGGAAGGGTGCAACCGCTGGGAACAACGCTACCCCCTCCCCGCTGGGCTCCCGTCTCTACCATGTGCAGGGAGACTTTCTCACGAACGCGACAACCAGGAAGACATGATGTTCACCGAGCGACGAGCGGGTGCCATACTGCCATCTTGGCAAGGGAATTTCACGGCTGACCTCTCGCATGTGGGTCAGTCCTCCTGATGGTGTACTCTTCTTCACTGCGGTTACTTTTCCATGGTGCCGCAGATTGCTCTCGATTCGTCCCACTGGTGCTGCCGTCGAGCCTTGCCCTTAAATGGCCGGTCCTCGTCCTGGACACCGTTCGTAGTCCCACCGCCTAACCCTGATCGCATGGTATCCACCACATTCGACACGCTTTGCACGGCAGGCATGGGAATCTCCACGCTGGGCAACGGCTGGATCGTATGGCGGTATGGCGCGTGTAGATTTTGGCATTTACCATCGTGGCGTTCGTGGGAAGGTGGGGCAAGCCGGCGCTCCTCGTATGACGAGGGCCCGGCCCCCAGGTGCTAGACGGACGCAGGCCTCCTGGGGGGCTGATAGCGACGGGTTCACCTCGCGGACGTCCGCCCAGCTTCCGGACTGGGCGCTGGGCTGGGGTGCCTTTCGCTCTGGAGCTCTTCGGCTGCGCGCCTGATGGGTGAACGCCGTCCGTCAGCTGCGAGTGTTTTTGTGGGGGCTATGTGCTTGCATTCTTGGCCGAAGGCAGAGCACGGATGACCGGAGGCTTTGCTTGGTTGTCGATTGCTTGCGTGGTAGGCGGACTGAGGTAACTGTTTGGCCTATATTTTCCGTGTAAAAGACAAGGAGGAGGAGGAGGAGGAGGAGGAGGAGGAGAAGGAGGAGGAGAAGGAGGTGGAGCGCGCGACCACGCGTCTCGATTCGCTGGGGCGAATGCCACAGTGCGAGAATCTAAAATTCGCCAGTCAAGCTGAGAACGGCATCGAAGAGGGGCCTCGGGTGCAGCACCATCCACATCCCACCATACAGCGGGGGCCCGACCACAAGAAACCTTCCACAAGAAACCCAACCCTGAGAACCCAGGATTTTCATCGCAAAACCATCGAAACCCAAGAAACCCAGGGCACCGTGCAGGCAGCAGGATGTTTCTTGGCATGGGTCTCCACTGTACTTCCCCAAACACGTACTGGCCACTGCCCCGCTGCTCCTGCCTGATATCCGACGCTTGCGAAAACAACTGCAACATCGCGGAACACCACCACCACTGGAACCCCAGACCCCATCTTTCTGCGTCATCTTTCGAGCCGGATCGATCTTCGGGCCCGGCGAAAGGGGGGGATAACAAAGGGGGGGTTTGAGAATCAGCTCACGTAGCTGATTTTCCCGGCGCCTCCCGGCGCTGGAGGCGGCCATGTATCGAGGAATGGGTCCCTCGGTGGGGCCGAAACCAGTCGCATGCAGCAAATTTCGTAACCCCCCCTTTCCCAATCCCCCCCTTTCGTCCGGCCCGAGATCTGTGAGGGCCCGGGGCCCGAACCTGGGAGAAGACGTCAGGTGTGGCAGACATCGCACCGCCAGGATCTCAGGGCTCCCAGTTCGGCTGCACGCAGGACTGGCCCTAGGCAAGAGGGGCCTCTGTTGCGCGGCTTGCCTCAGGTCAGGCATGTCCTCCTACAGGCGGATTTCGGACGACAGATGAAAAAAAGAGAGTAAAAAACACTCCAAAAATGATAAAACATAGTCAGAGATCGTCCCCAGATTGTTTGTGGCTATTTTTGAATTTTCCCCCTGTAGAGGGACGTGCCCGGCTTAAGGCTCGTCGACCAGTGCCTGCGATGCGACGATCGCGGCCCGTGCGTGTCTCGGGATTCGCTCTCCGCGTGCCCCCCCCCCGAGGGAGCCGCGCGTACCACAGGCCTCTCTCCGGCGAAGGGCTCCCTCCTGCGTGCAGCCGGCCCGTGCGCTGCCGGGCGACCCATGATGCCATGGCCGGCGTAGTGCATGGTCCCGTCTGTGCCGACGAGGTGCAGCGGGATCGACGGCCACCTCCTGCCATGGGTCGGCCCCCCCCCCCCGCACAGTCGGGCTGCTGACAGAAGGCACGAGAAACAAGGAACGAAGCCCCTTTCTGGCCCCACAGGCGCCTGCATGCACGAGGAAGGCTGGAGGAAAGGCCATAGCAGGACCCAAGGAATCTCGAGCCCCTTCCTCACCCAAGCCGCTCCTTATTAATCCAGAAGCCGCATTAAAGTGATCACTTGTTTTTTGGTCCCCCCTCTGTCACAGAGGGGCCTTAAGATGCCCCCCCTCTGTCACGGAGGACCTCGTTCTGGGTGCTCTTCTGCCATGGGAGCTCCCGATACGATTGGAGACGATAAAATGTGATGGCGGGATGGGGGATTGGAGGGGGCGAGGAAGAGCAAGCCCCATGCAAAGTCGACCGGAGCGCAGGGAGGGAGGGAGGCCCCGTGCGCGGGGTCGACGGCCGCAGCGCCGCGTGCAGGGCCTCCCCGCGGGGCCCCGGCGCCACGCCCACGCCGTGCCGGCCGCAGGAGGCGGCGAGCCGAGCGAGGCGCGGAGGGCGGGGAGGCGCGCGAGCCGCCCATCCGACCGAGCTGTCTCGCGAGGACAGGGAGTGGGAGGAGGAGGAGGAGGAGGAGGAGGAGGAGGCGGAGGAGGCGGAGGAGGAGGCGGAGGAGGAGTGAGGGGGCGGAGGAGGCGGAGGGGAGGAGGAGGAAGGAGGAGGAGGAGGCGGGTTGGAGGAGGAGGAGGAGGAGGAGGAGGAGAAGGAGGAGGAGGACCAGCGTAAACCCGGGAGGCATCAAAGATGTTGGAATTAGCCCTCCCTCCAAGCTCCCTCCTCATAGGCCCCTGCAGCGGTTCATTTCCATTGAGGGGACTGCCTCGTTGGAAGACAGCCGTTTGAAGACCCTGAAGCATGCCAAACGGTGTTCTCGGTATTTGAACGCCACGGACCAACCTGACTGCTGCTTCTTGACGATCCAGAATCGTGCCAAAACGCCGTTTGTGGAACTTCAACACCGCGAACCAATACATATATATATATATATATATATATATATCTTGCACCCGCATAATCCATAATCCTTCCAAAACAACATGTCTGGTACGCTGATCATGGGAATCCGTGAAGCTCTTGCAAGTTTAATGAACGAATGTGCACGGCACTGAGGCGAGAACCAATTTTTGAAAAAGAGCCGCCTCAATCCGTGAAGCTCTTACAAACTTTACAACGAATGCGCGTGGCGCTAAAGAGAACACCGCATTTTGAAAAGGAGCCGCCCTCAATCCGTGAAACTCTTGCGAATGTCTAAAACGAATGTGCGCGGCGCTAGGGTGAGAACCACATTTTGAAAACCACCCACCCTCAATCCGTGAAGCTCTTGCAAATTTTATGAACGAACGTGCGCGGCGCTAAAGCGAGAACCAGATTTTGAAAAGGAACCGCCTTCAATCCGTGAAACTCTTATATGTTTTAAATGAATATGCGCGGCGCTAAAGCGAAAACCACATTTTGAAAACCACCCGCCCTCCATCTGTAAAGATGTTGTCACTTTTTAAGCTTCAGACTCATGACTTATGAAGAAGTCTCAGGCGGAACGCCCGGCCCGCCCTAAAAACTGGCGTCGGGGTGCGACAGGGGGAAATTATTTATAAGGAAAAGGAATGGAGGAGCAGGATGAGGAGGAGGAGGAGAAGGAGGAGAGGGCGTTCCCTGTCTCGGGTGGACAAGGAGACACCCATACCGCTACTCCCCGACCTTGCCCCGTGGTGCGTTGTGACCAGCCTTCCGGGGAGAATCCAGCCGTGGCGACGAAGGCTCTGCAGGACGAGCAAGGGTATCGGTACCTTCGCCTCCTCCGAGGGGAGAGGGAGAGAGAGAGAGAGAGAGAGAAAGCTCCCTTTATAGGCCCGCGGCATGTGCCACCGCGCCGCCGCCGTGCCGCGGGTGATCCCGGAAGCCCGCCGAGGACTCTGGGCGGCGGCCGCCTTCCTCGGGCGGCCGGCCATCGGGGCTCTACTGTGCAGGGCCCCGGGACTCTGATCAGCCAGGGCACTGGCCGCACCTCCGACGATCTGGCCGCGTCCATTTTGTGGCGCTGCCGACTTGCGCGGCAACCGCACACCCGTGATGGCGGGCACGCCGTGTGGCCCCTCTTTCGGAAGCCCGACGGGGCCGGTGTGACCCCGTGCGGGCCCAGTGAGCCACCAGGGCTGCGTGACCCCGTGTTGGCCATGGCCGCCGCTCCAGTACAAGGGCCCTCGTGACGCGAACACGAAACGGACGGCGCCATATTTTGGTTTCATCGCAGCGTTTCTCTCGGTCCTGGGGGGGGGGGCGGTCTTGGGCCCAGGGGTCGGGAAAATCATGTCCGAAGATGTCTTGGGTGGCGCGCCAGAGAAAGCTGCAGCCGTGGGTGGAAGCATTCCCTACCCTTCCCTCCCCTGAGGTCCGGACGCTGCGGAGAAATGGAAGCATCGCGAAAAACCAACCCCAGACCCCACCTCCCTGCGCCATTTTCCAGGCCGCATCGACCTGCGAGGGCCCCAGGGCCCGAAGCTGGGCGGCAGCGCACGGCGTGAAGAAATAGTGCAGAACGCCCTGGCTGCAGGCCCTGGCCTGCGGAGTCCTGGTTGCCAGGGCCCTGGCTGCTCCTCCACGGGCTCCGGGCTCGGGCGCGAGCCCCGGCGCTCGTGCTCGGGCCTCCCCCCCGCCAACGCGACGAGGCTGAGCTCGACGGCGCGAGGGGAGGCGCCGCCCTCCAGCCGGGCCTCCGGGCCGGCTGCCCCGCGAGGCCCCGGGACGGCCCGCCCGGAGAGCCTCTCGTCGAGAGCTCAGCCCCGCCGGCCTCGGCAACTGCGGCCACGGGCGAAGCCGGGCTGAGCGAGCTCGGACGCCCTGCGGCGTCTGAATTCGAGTGCCCTACGGCGTCTGCAGGCCTACGATGTTGCGGCGTCTGCGCGTGAAAATCGCCTGCTTCCCAACTGATGGGAAGGGGACTCCTCTCTACTGCAGCTGGCCAGGGAGGAGGAGGAGGAGGAGGGGGAGGAGGAGGAGGAGGAGGAGGAGGAGGAGGAGGGGGAGGAGGAGGAGGAGGAGAAGGAGGAGGAGGAGGGATGATGATGATGATGATGACGATGATGATGTTGCTGCTGAAGATGCTGAGGAAGATGACGATGAAAGATGAGAGATGACGGATGATGATGATGATGATGATGATGATTGATGATGATGATGATATGATGTGATGATGATGAAGATGATGATGATGCTGCCGCTGCTGCTGCTGCCTGATGATGATGATGATGACGATGACGATGATGATTGCTGGTGATGGTGCTGGTGATGCTGATGTATGATGAGGAGAATGAGGAGGAGGAGGAGGAGGAAGGAGGAGGAGGAGGAGGAGGTGGAGGAGGAGGGGGAGGAGGAGGAGGAGGAGGAGGAGTGAGGAGGAGATAAGGTGGGGAGGAGGAGGAGGAAGCGAAGAGAGGAGGGGAGGAGGACGAGAAGGAGACGAAGGGGAGATGATAATTGTTGCTGCTCGCTGCTGGATGATATGATGGTGATGATGCTGATGGCTGATGATGAGTGATGATGATGATGCTGCTGCTGCTGTGATGATGATGATGATGATGATGATGATGATGATGTGATGATGATGAGCATTGATGCTGATGCCGCTTGATGATGCTTGCTGCTGATGATGACGATGACGATGATGCTGGTGATGATGACGAGGGAGGGCGAGGATGAGGTAGGGTGGAGGAGGAGAGAAGGAGGAGGAGGTAGCAGGAGGAGAAGGAGGAGGAGGAGGGGAGGAGGAAGGAGGAGGAGGGAGGAGGAGGAGTGAGGAGGAGGAGGAGGAGGAGGAGGAAGGAGCAGGAGCGCAGGAGGGGAGGAGGAGGTGGGAGGAGGAGGAGGAGGAAGAGGAGGGAGGGAGGAGGAGGAGGGAGAAGGAGGAGGAACAGGAGGCGGAGAAGAAGAAGGAGGAAAAGGAGGAGAAAGCGGAAGACGAGGAGGAGGAGAGGAGGAGGAGGAGGAGGAGGAGGAGGAGGAGGAGGAGGAGGAGGAGGAGGAGGAGGAGGAGGAGGAGCCTCCAAGCTCCCTTTTCATAGGCCCCTACAACGGCTCATTTCTATCGAAGGAACTGTCTCTTTGGAAGACAACCGTTTGAAGACCCTGAAGCTTGCCAACACATAGTTCTCGGGATTCCAACGCCACGGATCAACCTGACTGTTGCGCCTTGACAATCCTGAATCGCGCCGAAACGCCATTCCTGGGACTTCAACACAACGAATCAACATAACTGTTGTACCAACATAATCCTGAATCATGTCGGGAATCCGTGAAACTCCCCCACATTCTGAAAACGAATGTGCGCCGCGCTGGAGGGAGAACCACATTTTGAAAAGGAATCGCCCTCAATCCGTGAAACTCTTGTAGTCTTTTAAAACGGATGTGCGCCGCGCTGTAGGGATAACCACATTTTGAGAAGGAGCCGCCCTCAATCCGTGAAGCTCTTGCACGTTTTTAAACTAATGTGCGCCGCGCTGAAACGAGAGCCACATTTTGAAAACGGCCCGCCTTCAATCCGTGAAGCCCTTGCAATTTTTCAAACAAATGTGCGCGGCGCTGAAGGGAGAACCACATGTTGAAAACGGCCCTTGCAAATGTTTGAAAAGAGTGTGCGCCGCGTTAAAGCGAGAGCCACATTTTGAAAACGACCCACCCTCCATCTGTGAAGCGGTTGCCAATTTCTAAGGTTCAGAGTCATTAGTGGTGAGGAAGTCTCAAGCGAAACGCCCGACCCGCCCAAAAAACTGGCTTGGGGTGCGACAGGGAGTAATCATTTAAAAGGGAAAGGAATGGAGGAGGAAGAGGAGGAGGAGGAGGAGGAGGAGGAGCAGGAGGTGGAGGAGGACCAGTGTAAACCCAAGAGTCACCAACGATGTTGGAATAAACCCTCCCTCCAAGCTCCCTCTTCACAGGCCACTGCAACCATTTATTTTCATTGGAGGAACTGCCTCTTGGGAAGACAACTGTCTGAAGACCCTGAAGCATGTCAAAACATTGTTCTCGGGATTCCAACGCCACGGATCAACCGGACTGTTGCGCCTTGACAGTCCTGAATCGCGCCAGAACGCCATTCTTGGGACTTCAACACAACGAATCAACATCACTGTTGCACCCGCAAGTCCAGAATCCTTCCAAAACACCATCTTTGGTACGTTGATGATGGGAACCCGTGAAACTCTCGCAGGTGTTGTGCATGAATGTGCGCGGCGCCATCGCGAGAACCACAATTTGAAAAGGAACCGACCTCGTGAAACCCTTGCAAATGTAAACAAGAAATGTGCACGGCGCTGAAGCGAGAATCATATTTTGAAAATGACTCGCCCTCAATCCTTGAAGCTCTTGCATTTTTGCGAAAAAAAAATTGTGCGCGGCGCTAAGGTGAGAACCACATTCAAGAAACGACCCGCCCTCAATCCGTGAAGCTTCTGCATTTTCTTAAACGAATGTGCGCCGCGCTAAAGCGATAACCATATTTCGAAAACAATCCACCCTCCATCTGTGATGGTGTTGCCAATTTTTAAGCTTCAGAATCATAAGTGGTGAGGAAGTCTCATGCGAAACGCCCGGACCGCCGTAAAAATTTGCATCGGGGTGCAACAGGGAGAAATTACTTACACGGCAATTGAATGGAGGAGGAGGGGGAGGAGGAGGATAATGAGGAGGCGGAGGAAAGGAGGAGGAGGAGGAGGAGGAGGAGGATGGAGGGAGGAGAGAAGAGGGAGAGGGGGGGGGGAGGTGGAGGAGGGTGGTGGGGAGAGGTGAGGAGGAGGAGAAGGAGGAGGAGGAGGAGGAGGAGGATGAGGAGGGGAGGAGGCGGGAGGAGGAGGAGGGAGGAGGAGGAGGAGGAGAAGAAAAGGAGGAGGAGGAGGAGAAGAAAAGGAGAAGGAGGAGAAAAGGAAGAGGAGGGAGGAGGGAGGAGGGAGGAGGAGGGAGGAGGAGTGAGGAGGGCGGAGGGAGGATGAGGAGAAGGAATGAGAAGGAGGAGGAGGAGGAGGAGGAGGAGGAGGAGGAGGAGCCCAAGGAGGAAGAGGAGGAGGGGGCTGCGCATGCCCGCTGCCCTCATGTGCAGGGAGGCCGAGAGAGGGAGGGAAATTGGAAAGCGGGCGCAGGAGAAGGGAGCGCCCTTCGGTCTCCAAGTGATACGTACCAGCTGAATGATCCTGGCGTGTGAGCCCTCCAAGCAACTACTTGAGAAGTGGCAGCCCCTGCGCGTGGCACCCCATATGTGCGTGGGTGGAAACCATGTGTGCGTGTGTGGAGTCCGATGTGTGGAATCCTGCGGGTGTGGAGGCCTGCGTGCATGCGTGTGTGCATGCGTGTGTGCATGCGTGTGTGTGTGTGTGTGTGTGTGTGTGTGTGTGTGTGTGGGTGCCTGCACTTTTCAGGGTGCGACGCTTCGTGCACTGTGCCTTCGACGACGCTTGATGACCCTCTGCGCCGCCGGCTCCAAAAGCGTGTGTGTGTATTCACCAATCAGAGCTTGCCTCTGTAGGGGTCCTAGCGGATTCATATGGTTAAATGAAGTTTGTCACCGACTTCCGCGGCCCGCCCGGGTGCCCGGGTGCCTGGGTGCCCAATTTTCCCGGGTGCCCAGGTGCCCGGGAACCCGGGTGCCTTATAGCCCTATAGCCCTGTAGCCCTATAGCCTCATGGCCCTATAGCCCCATAGCCCAATAGCCCTACGGCCCTACAGCCCTATAGCACTATAGCCTTATAGAACTATAGCCCTATCGCCCTAGAGCCCTATAGCTCTATAGCCCTATAGCCCGATCACCCTATGGCCCTATAGCCCTACAGCCCTATAACCCTATAGCCCGATAGCCCAATAGCACTACAGCCCTATATCCCTATAGCCCAATCGCCCTATGGTCCTACAGCTCTATATCCCTATCGCCCAATCGCCCTATAGCCCCAGAGCCCTACAGCTCGATGTGCCTATAGCCCTTCAGCCCTTCAGCCCTAGAGCCCTATAGCTCTATATACCTATAGCTATAGCCCTATAGCCCCATAGCCCTACATCCCTATATCCCTATGACCCTATGGTCCTTTAGCCTTATCGTCCCATGGCCCTATAGACTCATAGCCCTATGGCCCTATAGCCCTGTAGCCCCATAGTCCTATAGCCCTACAGGCCTATGGGCGGATCCAGCATCTCAACGCTGTGTGATCTGGGCCGGCCGCGCGCGTCTCTTCGCCCGACTTTTGCTCCGCTGCGCCGCTGCGCGCGTGGCCGCGACGCCAAACAGAATGTGTGTGTGTGTGTGTTATGTGTGTGTGTGTGTGTGTGTGTGTGTGTGCGTGTCTGCGTGGGTGAAAACTGTGTGCGTGGAGCCCTGTGTCGGTGTGCTGCTGACTGGCTTCGCCGCGACGCTTCGCGAGTGGCCGCGGCGCCAATCAGTGTGTGTGTATGTGTGTGTTTCTAATGCTTCATCGCCAGCGCAGTCACTCTGCCTAGCCGCCGACGCAAAGTGTGTGTGTGCGTGTGTGTGTGTGTGTGTGTGTGTGTTGCTGATTGGCTTCGCCGCGACGCTGCGCGCGTGGCCGCGACGCCAAAAGCTGTGTGTGTCGTGTGTCGTGTGCCGTGTTGTGTGTGTGTGTGTGTGTGAGAGGGTGCGTGTGGAACGCTGTGGGTGGAGCCGATGCGTGAGTGGAAACCAAATGGCAGCAACGGGCAGAAGCCAACACACCACCCATGGGCAACGGACAAACCAAAGGGCAGTAACGGCTGGAGCTCTGCCGAATCGGCTGAGACCCCAGATGTGCAAGCACTGTGGCGGGCGACTGGCGCCGCGAGAGATACCTTGCTGGCTCTGGTGGTGACAATACCCCGCGGGTAGGGGAGGAGGATGAAAAGGGTTCAGCCAGAAGATTCGATGCGAGGCCGTCCGCGCGGTGCTGGGACCATGACCACCGACGTCGATAATCAGAGTCGATGACCACCACTGTCAACCCTGGCTTACCTGGGCACAGGGAGAGAGGGGGGAGGAGGGGTCCAGCACGTAGTAGAAGGGGCGAGGGGAAGCAGCACGATGAGGGGGGAGCGTCTCCAGCCGCACAGGTGCACAGCGGAGGTCGACGCGACCTAAAAAATAATGCCCCATGAGGCCGGGGCGACGCGACCTAAAAAATCCGCCGACCCTGTCGGCGTGTGACAGGGGCTGTTCCGTCGCCATCGCCGTCGTTGCCGCCGTCGCTTCGCCGCCGCCATCACGTCTGAGTCCGTCGCCGCTCCCCCCCCTTTCCTTGGGCCCTCGTCCTCAAGCACGCCAGCCAAAACGAAACACACCAGCCCATCCACAGCGAAATGAAGCAACGTTGTCATTGAGTCGAGGGGGAGCCCCTTCCCTGTGATCCCTTCCCCGCGGAGGGGGGGGGGGTCCGGGGGGGGGGGGGTCCCGGAGGGGGGCTCCCAAGCGGGGTGTCCCGGGGGGGGAGTCCTGGGGGGTGATCCCGGGACAGAACAAATCTATTTTTTTCGGGGCCCATGGCCCGCCCTCTCCCTCCCATTTCCGTCCAGAGCCGGGGCCTCCAGGGTCGGCAGCACCGGCCGCAAGGCCTCGGGGTACAAGTCCAAGAAGTCCGATGGGCCTGATCGGCCGAGCCCCTGCCGCGACAGGCGACATCAACAAGACGCCGGCGAGCCGACGGGCCTCCAGCGCGTCACGGAGCGGACGCTCGCAGCGGCTGCGGAGCTCCGTGCACCGCGGAGGCGAAGAAGTCCAGCCCGAGCTGGTGGTAGAGGCCGGGAACGTCGAAGATTGCCCAGCCCTCCTGCGCCCTTTCACCAACGATCCTCCAGTGCATCCCGAATCTGACCTGCACGCGCTTGTGGCTCGCGGGCAGGCCGAGCCAAGACCCCACGTGGTGGCCTTCGATGCGCCCCATCGCTGCGCAGTAGTTGCCCTCGCACGTGGACACCTCGGTGTCCAGAGTGCGGTTGGCGAACGCCGTGCGGAAGGGCTCCAGGACGTGCGAGCGGTAGTCCCTGGCTCCCCGCGCGAGGCCCACGCCCCGCGGGCCATAGAAGGTGAGATCGGAGTGCCACCAGCGGTCCACGTCCCCGCCGACGTCCACCCAGTCAGACAGCAGGCAGCCCTCCGCCACCCTGCGAGCGGCGGCTGCGTCGCGGCCGCGAGCCAGGATCGAGAAGGGGGCCGGCCTCGGCCTCCGACGAGACTGCCGCCCCCGGTAGGGGGGCTCCGAGCGCGGGCCGCAACGGTGGCCGATGCGAGACGAGCCGGCCAGCCACAACTGGGGGAGCTGTGGTCCTTACCCCCCTGGGGGAACCCATCGCATCGACGATCTCTCGAGAGGGGTGTCGAAATCGATGGGTCCCCCAGGGGGGTAAGGACCACAGCTCCCCCAGTTGTGGCTGGCCTGACGAGGTCGATCGCGCAGCTGTCGGGGAGACATACCGTAAGACTCGACTTTGGAGGGCTCGAGCTGGCCTGCGGGGGCCGTCGGACCAGAAAACGAGGCCGAGTCTGGAACTTGACGTGGGCTCCCGCTGCAGACATCCTGCGCAGGATGGACCGCCCAAATCGGGGACGGGCCTGCCAAAAAACGCCGGCAAGGTCGAGGTGAGCCCGAGTTCTGGCGAACTCGAGCCTTACGGCTCCCCGCAGCTGGTGTGGCATTTCGGGCAAGCGACTCGAGCCGGCCGCACTGTGAGAGGAACGAAGAACGGCATACACAGAAACTTCACGAGGCCCGCGTGGATTTCTTGGATGTGCGCTGGACCCCTTCCCCATGGCGCGCGGAGCGCGCCAACGGCGACGCCGGAGGCGCCGCCAGGGGGACCGCAGCGCCGATCCGACAAATCTGCGCGGACCTCCAAACATTTACGTTTGTGCCGCGATTTCTTCGAGAATCGAGCCGGCCGCGCCGTGTGGCCTCGCGGCTATATCTCGAGCGGTGGCGCGGTGGATCGCCTCGACGCTGAGGGGCCGGCACGCCGTCGTTGGTGCTGGGCGGAAGCACGAGCCCGTCCTCGAGGCCCGCTGGCGCCGGCGGCAGCGCTGGCCGGAGCCCCAGATGACATGACGCGTGCCCGTTCGTAACCAGCCTCGAACTTACTTACCCCTACCCCTAAGGTCGGCAAGCCCAAGACGATGGCAATCTTAAAGATGTGCCTTCAGAAACGGAGGGAATCCTTAAGATCGGAACCGAATCGAAGTGATGCCAAACATAAAGATTTGGGATACGTTTCGAGCGGATAAGTTTGGCGCACATCTCGGGGTCAGACCGCGCCCCCGCATCCCCCCTAGAAGGACAACGAACTGCACAAATCGGCGAGCAGCCGATGGGAGAAATGAGAGGGGGCGGGCCTTCCCAGAAGGGTCGGAAGACCTCCGGCCGTCTAACAGGTTTCTGAGCTGCTGCCAAAGACGCAGAAAAAAAACGCAGAAGGCCAGGGAACTTCTGAGAAGCCCCGTCGCTTTCTGATAATGCCTTCTCATTCCCCCCCTCGCTGTGCCGACGCACAAGCATAAACTCTCGGAGGGCTGCGCGGACTCCCTGCGTCGGCGGCGCGCGGCGCGCGGACCGCGCCCAAGGGCGTTGCCCCGGCGGCGCCGCAGGGGGTCCCGCGCCGATCCGAGAGATCCGCGCAAGCCTCCTATTCTACACCCTGCGAAATGCTTAAGAAATCATGGGTTAAGAAATTCATAGTCTCAGAAATTGAATGTAACCCAGAACTTCTATCAAAATCTTGGGATTTACATTGGAAAATTAAGAATAATCGAGACTCTGGACGAAAACGTAGGTTTTCTTAAGCATCGCATAAGGTGTACCCAACACCAGATTCTTCGACCCCTCCCGAAACCCCTCGAACGCGCGGTTCTTGCAGCCTCCTGCTCGTCCAGCCCAGTATGGCTGTAAGTCCACTGGCGCCTCCGAGGAGGCAGCTGGCAACCGAACGGACTCCGCGCCTTGCCGTCTCTTGGCTCCAGGCCGTGTAGCCCGCCCGGTGGGCAAGGTCTGGCCAATCGATCATCATAAAGTTGTAGGTGACAATCGGGGCCAGGTGCCAATGGCCCCAGAAACCAAACACGGCTGCCCTCCTCCTCCCCTCTCGCATAATTTTTTCTAACGTGCAGGGCTCGTCCAGCGATGCAGGAGTGGCTCGTCCCAGGCCTGGCTCGTCCAAGTTCGGTTTGTCCTATGCTCGTTTCGCCCGCGGTCCCGAACCCAGCTGGTGCACGTGCGCCCCAATCTTGTCTCTCCCTCAGCAATCGCTAGATTGTACTCAACAGCCTGGAAATCTGGCCGCCTGAGACCCGCACGGGGGAAGAACCGCACCTGGGCGAGCCGAGCAAGGATGCCCGAGACGGGACGAGCTGGGCTATCACGGGCGGGGCCAGGGACGAAACAGGGCGGGGCGAAACGTGCCAGGACGGAGCGAGCCTGGGAGGGGGCGGAGCAGGACGAGCAAGGCCAGGAACAAGCTGGGAGTCGAAGCCGCGAAGTAAGAGAAGGAGGATTCGCTCGCTCGCGCGCAAGCGAACTGTCTCCGAGCGGTGCTGTGACGCGCGCGCGCTGGGAGGCCCCTGTGGGCAGGCCTTCCTGGCGCGCCCGAGCTAGCGGCGCCGCAACCAGGTGGCGAGCTCCACCTGGGCGCGGAACGGGCGATGCAGCACCAGCTCAGCCTTGGTAAAGGGGGGTGGGGGGGGGGAGGGGGGCCGAGAAGCTGTGGAGACAGCACAGCTGGGAACACGGGCCGCGGAGAATCTAAAATCGTACTCTCCCGCGCGCACGCAAGCGACCTGTCTCCGAGCGGTGCTGTGGCGCGCGCGCGCGCGGGGAGGGCCAAAATGGGCAGCGCGCCCGAGCTTGCGGCTCCGCGCTCAGGTGGCGAGCTCCACCTGGTCGCCGAAGAGGCGATGCAGCCGTACCCATGTCCTAAGCCCTTGCGCAGTGTCACGGTTTCGGCGGGCGGCCGCGAGACGGACGGACCAAGCGGTGGGGCCGACGCTGACAAAAGAAGCGAACACGCAATTGCTGGCGGTGGCGAGAAACAGTACTTGTGCCCGAGAGGGTTCGGGAAACGCAGCGAGAACCGGATTTAGGCCCACGACAGCCTTGGCGACTGGGGCGCCCAACACCGAAAGCAAATGGTTCCACCGAGCATGGAAGCCCCTCTGACGGAAAGGCGAAAGCGGATCGGTGGAGCCCAAACCCCCAAACACAGTGAACCCCATCAGCAGCAGCAAGGCTGCCATCAAGGGCCAATCCCAAGTGAAAATCGTCGGTGGGAGTGAGCCTCCAACCAGCTAGGGTGCGGGACGTCGACGACGTGGTCGCAGGCAACGACCAGGTTGTGGGGAATGTCCCACTTTCCTTATAGCTCCCGTGGGAGGGGCTGGTCCTCGTCCTTGACGTGCCAGAGAAAATCTAGCACGCAAGCGAGGATGGCTGCACGCCTCCGCG